ATATGTAGCACCCTTATTACGACTGCTTAGCTCACAATTATAAAAATACCTGAATTGCAGCTGATGTGGCCAAAGAAATAGAAATATGGAAATACAGTTGAGTCCGAGAAATACAGTAAGAGTCCGAGAACTTCCGAGAACTTCCATTTCTCATTCTGCTCTCTGGCCAACATCAATAAGGCTTTATTTCTTGTAAGCATTTCAATTGTACCTGGAAGCCAGAAATCAATACAATGAAGGGAAAAAAAACAAAACACCAAAACCTTTTGGACACAAATAGTTGGCTGCATAATAAACTGCAAACAAAACTCCATTTTTTATGGTATAGTACTGGCTTCATTTAAATACAACCTGCCTATTTTTCCCCTGCCTCATTGCAAAGCACATTTAGGTGAAGGGAGTACTTGGATCCATATCTCGACTCCCTTTGGTATCTGCTAATACAATTACCCTGAGAACAGAACCCGAGGTAACCATTTAAATGATATATATCCTGTATCACAGTAACTTTTGATTATTCCCTGAGTTGGTAATGATAATTTATCTCTACCTAGCTTCAGCGAAGGCAAGAATACTTGAAGTAGAAGATTGAAGAACATTAATCCAAGGCCACCGAAATACAAGTTCTCATCCGTGGGTCATCTCAAAAGAATTGAGCTGCTCATTAAGATGAAGAAGGCCTCTCCATCTTCTGGAAAGCAACGGCACTTAGTGGATTTTCACGGTTCGGTATCTTACTCAATACTGCACAGGGCTAAGCGTCATCAAGATCACGTATAATCTTTCATCTTTTCAGGAAGACAAAACCTGCAGACAGGACAGGTGTCTCTCAACATGTTTTAAGTTCAGCCTGTAGAACTACAGTGTGGCAGAAATATATATTTTTTTCCATCTTCCTCCATTATTCCTCAAGCAGGCACATTCTTGTACTTGCAGCTTCTGCAACCGAGAGAACCGGGAGAAAAATATGGTGTTTCTCTTCCAGCCACTTCCCAGGTTTTAGGAGGACCCCAAATTGTCCCCTTTATTATTGATTTAACACTGGCCACACCGATGTCACCTCTCAAAGCATGGAGTAATACAAGGGTAACATCCCGCAATCTGATAGGTTCGATTGTAGGAGACGTTTAAACACGGCTTCACCTCTATAGGGACGGCTAGCGGCATTTCCGAAACCTGCATGTGGCTTTGAGCCTGAGCGCCACCTTGTAAACCAACAGGGCAAGTCTGCATTGGGTAGGCTGAGGTACGACCGCTTGGCATAATTGGCTGGCAGTTTTGTTGCGTTGCTGGTTGAAGATAGGGCAGAGACGTCTGATGCGCTTGAATATAATGGGGTATGTGCTGCGGTGTGGGTTGGCCGGTTGTTTGAAATAAAGCGTTACGGGGTGGTTGAGAGCTATGCTGTCCCTTTTGTTTGTTGGCTTCTTTGACATCATTATCATGGGCCCTAGAATATTAAAATGAAGGAAAAAAAAGATTATTTTCTGTTTGACCACACTGGGTGAAATCTATAGTTCATCCAAAACCATGTACAAGGAGAGGAACTGCAATGTTCCCGTGGTTCGTCCATGAGGCCAATGTGGAGAAAAGACAGGACACGATCTTTCACGGGATGGAGCGATGACCCAGATTGGGGGGCTGAGAGCCCCTTTTATTGAGATAGGACAAAGGCAGGAGGAGCAATCAGCATGTGGTTAAAAACAGCCTGTAAAAGTACAATTTCTAATCTGCTGCTCAGGGAAGTTCTGTCTATATATGGTCAAATCCTT